GAGATATGAAAGCTTAAAATCCAGTTCTACTAATCTACATTTAGATTATGTGAGGAAAGGAGATTCATGGATCAACCAAAAAACCAGGCTTAACCTTATTATATATTTATAGCCCTTTTGGAGATGACTATAGATAAATTAGATTCGTATACAAAGTGAAGAATCCAAACTGTTAGCTGAACAATAAAATTTTCAAAGGATTGGAAAAGGGAACAGCGATTGCATGATTCTTAAACATTAAGCATGGAGGGTATAAGAAAAGGGGAGCTGAAGCAGGCTATTTCCCTTCTTCCTTCCTTTTTCAATCACTCAACTAAGGGCTATTTGGCAGGTTTTTCTTGGGACATGCCTATACACTCTTGTATCTCTTGAGTTTGAAAATTTTTTGGAGGTAAATGGGGATTTTTAGCAACAAAAGCGCTAATAAGCAAGTTCTGTCATTTTTACAAAAACTGCTTACAAGCACTTCTGTTGCTGAAAACCTCCATTACTTAAGAGATACAAAAGTTATTATAAGCTAGTCCCAAAAACAAAACCTACCAAACAGCCCCTAAGTTAGAGAATACACAACCATCTAAAACTACAATATATATTACCATTTTCCAATTAAGGGATAAAAATCAATCCGCATGTCTGAAACAGCCAAACAGGTAGATTGACTGCTTTCCAATGATTCTAACAAATATAGAAATGTTTGGATGCCCTTTGGATCACCAGTTTTAATAATATGTTTCAAGTCACTATTCAAAATTACTGTCAAGGAAAACAACATAAATACAAATATAAGAACAAACAGGCCAATGTAATCAACTGCAAACCTGCACAGGTATAGAAGGTCCTGCCTCATCCACACGCTTGCCACCATCATCAAATAAAACTCGTACCTGCAGCAATGGCATAGAGCACAAAGCATTCCAAAATCAAGCATTTAAGTGTCATAGTTTGTTATTCATTGAATATTAATCAATATTTGCAAAGCCAAACTCGTAAGTATTATGAACCTTTCCAAAGGCTTCTCCACAAATGATAATATCCCCTCTTTTAAGAGTGCCATTCTGCACAAGAAATGTAGCTACTGGCCCTTTAGAGTTTTCAAGTCCTGCCTCAATAATTGTGCCCTTTGCATTTCGATGAGGATTAGCCTTTAACTCTTGCAACTGACAAAATCAGGTCAAAGGTCATTGCAGGTGAAAGAAATAGAAAATAGCATATGTTTATATGAAAAGCATTAAAAGATGATTATCAAATCAAAATTCTAAAAATTCCAACATCCAACCTCCATAAAACTAGAAAGCAAAACTGTATGTGGCTGAAAGAAGAATTTCAAATCCAAGCAATCAACAAGCTGCAAAATCCATTATAATAACTCACCTCTGCAACAAGCATAACTGTCTCTAATAACTCATCTATGTTCGCCCCTTTGAGAGCACTGATCTATTAAAAGGGATGCAACAAAAGATAAGCATCTGTGAGTATATTGAAGCAACTAAGAATTAGCAAATACCATTATAATTACAAACCTGAACCATTGGAATGTCACCGCCCCAGTCTTCTGGCATCAATCCTATTGCAGAAAGCTCTTGCATGACTTTCTCAGGGTTTGCTCCAACTTTATCTATCTGGTAAATTGCAAGGTGTAAAATTAGATCCGTATTGATGTTAACAGTTGGAGAAAACAAAGCATTGCCTGCAGCCAGTAATCTTCCCATGATTTGCTCTCTAACTGTCAAGAGCATAAAATGTCAACATTATTGCCAACGCCATACCTTGTTTAGAGCAATTACAATTGGTACTCCAGCTGCTTTTGCATGAGCAATGGCCTCAGTTGTTTGAGGACGGATCCCATCATCAGCAGCTACTACAACAATCACAATGTCTGTCACCCGCGCTCCACGAGCCCTCATTGCCCCAAATGCCTACAAGAGCAAATGATAACAAATATCACCCAAAACCAAGAACAGAAAAATGATACAGTTCACAAATGAGTCTATATCTGCATAACAGAAAAAAGTCATTAGATACTCAATAACAATTACAAACTGAAGGATGATAAATATTTTCCTACTTGACAGGAGAGATCTAAAGTGTGAGTTCTTAGTTAATATTTTACCTCATGTCCAGGAGTATCTAGGAAAACACATGGCTGAAATTTCCCATCCATTGGTACTAGCACTTTATATGCACCAATTCCCTGTGTTATACCACCTGCTTCAGAGGCAGCCACCTGTGTATATCCACCATTCAGACTCCAGTTTAATAGTGTGCATGTTTTGCTAATTGGTTATTGCAAGTAGCTTTGCTGAATAAGTTAAACCAAAATCAATTATTTTTCTGCGTTAGACACTCATTGTATCATAAACATGTACCATGGAAATTATTAAAAAGAAATTAAAAAAAAAAAAAATAGCACCTACAGATTGACAAAAGGCTAATGCCTGAAAATCTTTTCAAGGATGTATGATGCAAAGAAGTTGGTAAAGGGGCATTCAAAGAGGCAAAGCTTCCACATACCTTGCTTTTTCTGATATAGTCCAGAAGGGTTGTCTGCCAAGCATATTTCAATAAACACACATTAGCAAACTCTTTGCCAACAACAAAAGCTTCTGGTTTCTCCTTCATTCAGTTGATATCAGAACTGATATAAATTTTGCAAACAAAAGGTTAGCACTCACCTTTCCATGATCTACATGACCCATGATGGTGAGAACAGGAGGTCTGTCTTCTAGCTTGCCCAGGTCATCTTCATCTACAATTTCCTTCTTTTTTGCCATTTCCACTACCTTAATAGGGTCAGCATCTATGACTTCGACCTCAAACTCCTTGCAAATCATCTTGACCATGTCACTGTCCAGTGTTTGAACCCCATCTGGCTTAATCCCCTTAGAGAAGAAAAATCCAAGAATTTCACCCTCACTGATGGCCAAATTGTATGCCAACTCCTCTAGCAACATGCCTTTCTCTTCAACCTCCAAAATTTCTACCCTGACAGGAGCTGCCTCTTTGGCAGCCTGGAGTCTAGCTGCCCTCCTCCTAGCTTTACTCCATTTCCTTCCTTTCGTTGCTGCAGCAGCACCAGGAATGGACACATTTAATTCCGATGTCTCCTCATCAGTAATTTCAATATCATCATCTTTAGCAACAATCCGCCTCCTTGATCCTCCATCTGAAACATTTTTCTTCCGGTATTCATCCTTGAACTTTCCAGGTGGAGGGCCCTTACGAGGTTTTGTAGGGGCTAAAACAACCTGAGCAATCAGAGGGTCAACCTCTGGTTTCTTCGGTGCAAATTTGTCAATCAAAATAGGCTTCCTTTCTTTACCCTTCACAGAGGCAGCCTCTTCAATAGTGGACGACTTTGAAGCTGTCCCCACACCTCTCATAAAAGGTTTCTTCACCACAGGCGGAGGAGCCACCAATGGCTTCGCCTGTAACTGCTGCTGTGGTCTCAATAGTGGCTGTGGAGGTCTTGAGGAGACCCCAGGTTGAGAATCCAGTTTCCCCTCTCCCCCCAATTTTGTTTCCTCTTTCACAATGCTGTTATTAACCTTCGGAACCTTCTTAACAAGCTTCTCAACACTCGCGATCGAGTCACCTCTCCGCCACACACTCTTCAGCGTCTTCTTTTTCTTAGTCCCTGCAATCGCCGATCCCTCAAGACTCCGATTACAACTCGTATTAGACGGCCTATTTACATTCACATTTACACTCAAACTCTCTTTCCGATCACCGGACCTCGAATTTTCCAATTTCTCAGCCTTATCCAGCACCTCCCCAAGTGACTCAATCACCTTATTCCTCGCCACCTCTTCCTCCACACCCCACGCCACCGAATTAAGTCCCAAAACATCATCTTTCTTCCCGCCCTCCGCCTTCAGCACCGGCTTGGGAACGGGTTTAAGCACGAAGTCACTATCACTGTCGGCGCTGGCAACGAAATCGGCGGTGGTGACGGAGTATTTACATCTGCAAAGCCCTCTCACTCTGCGCTTCGCCAAGGAAACTCTTTTTACAATCGAAAATGGCGATTCCGAAGAAGTAGCAGTACCGACAGGGACCCAGACGCTTCCGAATTTGACGAGGGAAGCCAGAGAAGGCATTGTTCCGACGACAACATGCATCGGCAGCGGAATCAATTCGTCATCTGAAGGAAACAGAAAAGCAGAATCTAGGAAAAACGAAAAAGAGAAACAGAACCAGTGCAATTAGGAAACATATATCAGGTGCTAAATTGGTTGGGTAGGTGCGGCAGCTTCTCTGCCTGTCTCATTTTTTGAATGGCTTAATGTCACAAAGTCCGTTAACTTTACAAAAATAGTCATTTCATCCTTTTACTTTAAAATAAGTCATAAATAACCCTAAGCTTTTGAGAAGGGGCCAAGTACTGTCCTCTTCCATTGACGGACGTCATAACGCCGTTGATGGCCCGTTAAAATTCTCCAAATTTTAATGGTAAAATACCATTAGCTTGTCCCTTAGCTTTCAGTTTTTTAATTTTTGGATCCTTAAACTTCATATTTATTCAATTTGGTCCCTAATTTGAATTTTTTATTTTAATTTAGTCCTAAACTTTTGAAAGAGATGTACTTAAATCTCAAATTTTCTAATTTTATGCATTTTAGTCCTTTTTTCATAAGTAATAAGAATTATGTAACTCCCAATAAAATCAAATTCAAGTATTTAACTCGTTCAAATATTAACAAAATCAAACCTAAAATAGTAAACTAAAATATATAAAATTTATATCATTAAAGTGTAAAATCAAAATTTTAATACCCACTTATCCCCAAAATGTTTTTGATACTTAATATCATCAAATATTGCAACGTACATGTGTCATGATCTAAATGGTTCACATGGACTTAGATCATAACTAAAAGGGACTCAATGTCACGTCACGTACAATTAGGAAAGCTCTTGGAAAATGAACTAATTAAATTGAGTTAAGCCTTAGCTTTCGTGACCTTAAAAAGAAGCACCAAAAACCTAGATAGTTAAGCTGTTTAAAATGGAATCTAAGTGATGATTGACGGATCTAAGTTGCTTACCTAAGACGTAGGACTTGGTGATCAAGACAAAAGGCATAAAGGACATGGGGGCCTACAGAAGGTCAAGCTTGGCTTGCACTTGGAGGTAGCCCAACATCCATGTCAATACCTACACAAATTGTTTCCTATTCTACAAGTGGTCCTTCTTTGTATTCTTGCCACATGGCACCTTTCTATTGGTAGCATACCTACCATCATATCTTTTTGCATGTCAAACTTTGACAGTTGTATAAACTAAATAGGTTTCCATCTTTAGCAAAGCTAAAAGCCTCATCACTATAAAAAGGGATTCTTGCACAAATCCCAAGGTAATTCAATCTCCTTCTCCCCTTCTTCTTTAACCTTCCTCTCCTCCATTGTTGTCCCTCTTACACCTTTTCCAAAATATTGCTCATTTTAGCATCAAAATGCGTACACCAGAGATTGCCTCTAAGTCTCCATCACATGCACAAACAAGCTTTCCATCTACCCATACACAACTCAAGCTTCTAAAGAAGAATGACAACTTTGCTTCTTCATTCAATAAGTGTAGAGGTTGGGAAACCTAGATTTATCCTTAGTAGTAAATTTTCAATTATCAATACCCAATTTGAAATCTTGTGAAGTGCTACAACCAAAGTGATGAAGCTGTAGAAGATGTAGATACGACTTAAGCCAAGTTCCACCATGAAACCATCCACCAAACAACCAATCCCAAGTCCAGCCATAAGAAGCTCTACCTAACCAAACACCTAATGCCACTGTCCTTGATGAAGTAACTAGGTGCTTACAGAGAATGGAAAAGTTTATTGCAACCAAAGGTTGTCAATCTCATTCCCACATGCATACCAATTTTATTATTAGAATAGTATATACCAAATATTGAAAAATACAGTTTATTATTTGAATTTATCGTTATTATTATATTTTTTTATACAAATTAAATATATATGTTGACACTAATATACTAATGTTCAAAAAAGCCAAATTCATAGTAAATTTTCACAAATTCATGCAAACATAACAATAGCATTAGGAATGCAAAATTTACAAAACATAATAATGGAATTTGTTTGTTTTCATAAAAAATAAAAAAAGTCAATTGGTAATTAGCTTTGTAGTTGAAAAAAACATACTGCAAATATGATTTGATCATCAACTTGGCAAAAAGCCCTTTATATTTTAACATAATTCCCAAGATCTCTAGCTCTTTAAAGTTCTATCCTTCATTTTTATTTTGAAATCCTCCTCTAAATTTTTCTCCTCCCCTATTTCCCAATTTCTCAAATCTCCATTTTTTCTAATTGGCCTTCATCTCCTTCATTGTTCCCCCAACTTCTCCATTTCCCTAAATTGTTTTTCCAATTGATCTTCATTTCTTCAAGTCTTTGTATTTTTTAATTATCTTTGTGATTGTGGATTATTATAAGAATATTTTAGGGTGTTTCACTCTCTCTGGTAAACTAAAAGCTCATTACAGTTACAAACTCAAGATCCCTCACATTTCTAGCCAATGTAGGATTGGCCTAAAGGTACTAGGTATTGACACCTCCTAAGGGTGTAAGGGTGATGGCACCTCTTGTATGATGGGTTATCACAATTTTCAAAAGAACTCATATAACATCAAACTTCCATGCATTGTAATAGTGATCTCCACTCATTCATTCAAGAATATATGTTTGTAGTAAGAGTTTTGGTTTAAGATTAGTTCATATGAAAGTAGACATCCCAAATTTTATAGTGAGTATAAGAATAATAGTTAATATTTGATAAAAAAAAATACAATAAATATATAATTGGCATAATCACAAGTATATAATATTGTTTTGCCAACTAATTTGCCTCGTAAGGCATGCCCTAACTTTTACTACCACTAATATTAAATTTTTTTTGGGCTACTATCTCTAATTTCAATTAAATTGAATTAACAATGAAACATTCTTTGCTATATTACATTGTTTCATTTCCTCAATCCTGCACACTTGATTGAAGATGCTAACTTATAATAACACATCTCCCTAGGTACTTTTAGTCATAGAAGAGTTCGATAATAAGATTTATAGTGAAGAATTGCAGCGAAAAAAAAAACACTTCTGATATAAAATGTTTCTTCATAAGAAAGTCTGTATTCAGAAAATCAATTTACATTTTGAAAAGAGAATATTATAGATACCTGTAAAGGAAAACCACTTTAACAAAAAAAAAATCAATATATATGTTGGGAAAAATACCAAAATATCCAAAGTTATAGACTAAGCTGAGCTAAGCTCATTTATAATTAATTTAAATATTTTATACATAAAAGTAATTTACACAAAAATTATATGAGGCAAATTATTTTTCAAAGCTTTTCAAAAGAACAAAAGCTAAGACATTGTTTTGGTACACATCAATCTGCCTTCCTATCAAAAACACAAGACCCTAGCTTGTACATACAACGAGCATACGAGTCCCATGCCAAAAGCTCTCAAACTGGGAGGCTGCTACCTCGATCTATTGATCTGAAATGGGGGGGGGATTTTATGAGCTAAAAGCCCAATAAGTAATAAGTTTAAGCTATAAACTTGGTTCCTAAGATCCTTAAACTTATACACACAAAGAGCATGAGATACAACGGAACCAAACCACATAATATTATAATTTTTATTATTTAAATAATAACTTAATATCTCAAATCATAATCACACATGTTAAGAAATAATCAATGACATTTCAATCAAACTCACATAATAAAATTATATGCTCACAAATACAATGTCACAAGCATAATGCATAAAACTGAAAATCACACAATACTATGGAGTTCACTGATGTGTGCTAGCAACACTGTATCGAAGCTAATCACAGTACTAACTCTATTACGCAAAGGTCCACTATATACCCCGAAAGGTCCACTGAATACCCCAAGCTTTAAGTTTAGGTCCACTTATTCCATAACCACAAACACATGCACATGTCAAACAAGTTTAGAACATATCCAAAATAATATTAAAATAGTATTCCATTTAATGTTCTCATTAATTAGTGGCATGGACAATTCATGTTCATACTAATATCCACATATACAGCTCACATATTTCATAGAATTTCATATTTAAAGAAATTAAAGTATACTACACGAATAGTAATTAGTGTGTGAACAGTAATCCATGAACAATACACATGAACTGCAATTACATGAACAGTAATTAAAAGTAGCAATATGCTCCAAGCTCATGTAAAGTTTTAAGGACCAATTAATTATATAAATTCTAACTTAATCACACAAGGCATATAAGCAATAATAGTAGTACTAATCAATAAAATCCACACCAAATCAAGTATGAAAAAAGGAAAATGACTTATTATCCATCCCATACAAGCCCCAAAAATTAAAGATATTTCTAATGAAATTTTAATACCCAAAAATCTTCTAGACGAAAGGGCTTGGGTCAAATCTCACCAATTTAAACTACCCAAAACTCTAACCCAAATTCATAATCAACACTTATACTTACCTAAAAAAAACACCTTAACATTAGTTGGAGAAAGAAGGAAGAAAGATGCATCTGGAAGAGGAAGGCGCAAGAGAAAAAAATAAGGGCTTTTGGGAGCCCTTTGGAGGCTTATCCAAGTCCAACCGACAAGGAAAAAAAAAAAGCTTGGTTGGTATAATGCAATTTGGTAAGAAAAATTGGAATAATGAAGTTAAGGCCATTCAACTCGTACTAAATTCTACTTAAAATCCCCAAACTTTAAATTCAATCAATTTAATCCTTAAAATTGTAAACTAATGAACTCTATTTTTTTTTTTTAATTATTCACTAATTAAGGTATGTGGGGTGTTACACCTATATTCCTAAATAGTATTCCACAATGGTCAAGCAACTCCATAATTAATAATTAACAAAACCTAATAGTCCTTAAACCAATGTATGACCACCATAATGTACCATCCCTCTTTCTCAAAAATTTATTTTCTTACACTAAGCATGTCCATGTCCATGATAAATTCCCACCTCCATTCCTCCTTTACCTTGTAGGTTCAATAATAATCATAATGGAGACTTAATTATTATTCAATATCCTTGGCTTTGTTTTCTCTATGTTACCAGCACATGATCACACCCTATACCAACCCATTAACAAATAAGTATAGCTTATGTCTCCATGTTTCAAGTTTCACTTTACCTACAATGGTCATAATTGATGTCCAAAAGAAAATCAACCACAAGGACAAAACTGTGGCAAAAAATAAAAAGCATCTTGGTTACTTTGTTATCCATGACTAGATCATACACAATTTAGCAAATAACACTAATTAACACAAGTGAATTCTTCCAAATTGTAATCTCTATCCAAGGAATTCATTAATTCCTTACGTATAAAGATAATTCTCCTTGAGGATGAGTAAAGTGTTTATATAGATTCCAGTTGCTTGACGGGAATGGAAGGAACTCGATATGCATTAGGCCAAAGAAAGCAAAAGTTTAAATGTGGAGAGAACGTTCCTCATTAATTAGTTTTTAGGGTTTGAATGAATGAAAAACATGAGCAAATGAGGCAAATGTGACTTTCTAGGTTTTGAGTTATTAGTAAATCCTAAGCTTCCAATACTTAAGTCCTAAATTTCTAGCATTCATGCTCATAAACCTCAATCTCTTATTTCATCATAATTAGGCCCTATATCGACCAAATTGAATATTTATATTCATAAAGGAAAATTCATGGATATTATAATAATAACAATAGCACTAGCCGGATTTAATTATTATTAAGGTTTAAAGCATAAGAAAGCAAGACAAGTGAATTGGAAGAAAGATATTTTATTATAATTAGAGATATATTGAGAATTACATGTAGTAGCCTTTATATAGGCATTAGGGTAGACAAATATAAGGAAATAAATCATTATATTAAAATACCTAAATAGAATCTACCCATTATTGATAGAATCAAATATATTATTTGATCAATCAATCTCTAATATGATTGAATCTTTTCATTCCTTAATTATTAGGCAAGCAAAAAGAAAGACAATTGCATTAATTGAACTATTTGACTTATCAATTTTCGAGTTCTAGACAAGATTTTGGGATTACAACCCCTGTAGCAACTCCATGGGCAAAATTGCACTCAGATACCACTTGCTTTCTAGGAACTGCTGATGTTAGGTTAATATTGTTTAATTTGATGTTTTTGCAGGGAAAATTATGACTACAATTCAAATTAATGGCCACTTCTGTTTGTGACGTCCCAAATGCTTCATTGTATTGCACGTCACTTATCTGAACTCCAGTATCCTATAATAAATTATGTATCCAATAAGAAACAAAATTTGAAATTATATTGTGATGAATAAGATCAAATGGTTTGTTTATCTTACCGTCTTCCCACATTTATCTGCAACATCACAGTAGTACTGATCAATAATGATAGGATTTTTAACATTGGTGAAGTTCATATTTGAGAACATGATGTGCTGAACAGTGCCTTTCCCAACCTTCCAAAATAAATAAAAGTCATTATGTGCTGTGCAAAGCTTTGCAACCCTTTAGCTTAATCTATGTGTTGAAAATATATAGAACACCTGCCATGTCTTGATCCTTGCTCCATTGGTTGTCTCTTTAAAATTAACATGATTCACAGTGATGTCATGCACGTTTACCACACCTCCTCCCTTGCCTAAGCTTCCAATGCTGCCACATAGAAATGAATTAAAACTTGGAAGGCATAACACATATTTTAAAAAAGGGATAGTAATTAGGATAAATTTTAATTTAACACTACACAATGTACTTATAAAAAATTATTATTTTTTAGTATGGAACTAAGGGTAGACAAACTTAAAAATGAAAGCACACACAAAATTAAAGAACTGATATAATCAACTGTACTTATATTACATTTTAATAACTAAATCGAGATGAGTATAAGAAAATATGTTGAATTGGGTGTGTACCAATTATAAAACAAATGCATCATTATGCATTATATGGGAAAATTTGTTTACCTTATACCATGACCAGGCCCACAATTGACCTCAGTGATATTAATGTATGAAATATCATCACCAATAGAGATGCAATCATCACCTATTTAAACCACTATTCTTAATTAGCTTCAAGATATATAAAGTAAAATGCATAGTGGGACATGAATAGTTACCATCACCGATTTCCATATTGTGGATGGACACTTGAGTGGAGGATTGTAGATGAATTCCATCTGTATTTGGGCTATTTCCAGGAGATTGTATGGTAGAGGAACTTATTTCAACATCTTGGCATCCCAAGAGGGATATATGAGTTTGGGGACTATTTATTAAGTTGATGTTTCTTATTTTAAGATGTTTACAACTTCGAAATCGGAATGTTGTTGGGGCAAGAGTGCCACACCCTTTTCTCTTGTTGATTTTGCATGAGATATCCCACCAACCCTTTCCCTGTCCATCTACAGTGCCAGAGCCATCAACATTAAGTCCCGTTATATCCTTAAATAGTATCCATGTTGATATATCTTTTCCCTTCCAATTGTTAGGACCATCAGGGGCTTTGATAACTCCAGAGAGCTGTCATATAAACAATTTCAAAGAATGTCACAATAAGTGTCCAAGGAATTAATGCCTCAACATATATGGTAATGTGATCATAGGTAACTTAGTTTTATTAATTAACCATGATATTGATGTTACTAGATTTGCAGGGGCCTGCAAATGTTAATGGCTGCACTAAAAATGTCTTTCCTTTCGGTATTACGACTGTAGGAGTGACTTCGACCACTTGACATGCCTCATTCCATGCCTTTACAAAGGCCTACAATTGAGGGTAAAAGAAATAATTACACATGTTGAAAGCAATGTAATGCTAAAAGGTCTGATAAATGGAAATAATGGCATACAGTAGAATCGTCCACTTGTCCATTCCCGACAGCACCATAATTTAGAACATTAAATTCTCTCTTTTGAGCATTAACACTCATGTCAATTGACAATGTTAAGAGAATAAAGAAAATGTTCACAATAGGTAACAAATCCTGCAAAATATAGTAAATGTAAATAGAATAAGTAGAAGATTAACTACAACAATAACATTTTTTCTTTTGTGGAAATTTTATGTAAAACATATGTAAAAAAAATGACATAAGTAAATATATTTTATCTAATTTTTGATACATTTGACAATGAATTATGTAATAGAAGATGACCCACTTTTACCAACCATATCTATTTTTCAATGGCTACATCTCCTTTGACAAAAAGTGGTGGCACTAACAACCAAGGTTCAAGCCCAAATAATCACATTCCCCCATCCCCAAAAGTTACTAGTTCAAAAAAAAAAAAAATGATGGTGGCCCCTTTTCCAAATCTTAGCCTCATCTATCTCAGAATTTGAAATTTAAACCTCTAATATGAAGTCTTA